CTCTCTAGGGCTCTGTTTTTGCTCAAAAAGTCTTATCCTCTCTCTTGCAGCCCGGAATTGGGTTAAAACCAGGAATTCCCGACTCACACGGGCAGGGCCACACGGCCGTGTGGCATACCCAGTTGCCCGTGTGAGTCAAAACGCTGCGTTCCAATTAGTTCGATCTTCAGGCTTCTCACACGGCCAGGGTCGCACGGCCGTGTGAGATTTCCATCTGCCCGTGTTTGCTCTCGGCGAAACTCGCACGGCCAGGCCACTCCTTCACACGGCCGTGTGAACATCAGGGCACGCCGTGTTTGCTCTCGCACAATCTCACACGGCCAAAGTGGTCACTTGCACGGCCGTGTGAGTTGTGGGTGTGCTCGTGTGGCCTCCTTTGTGACTTGCCTCGTGCCCGATCTTCGTCCAATCGACCCCAAACTCGCTCCCAAGCCTCCATTCACGTACTAGGACCTGAAATATCACAAACAAACACAACCTAGCGTGAAATTGGCCTAAAACACGAGAAACCACATCTCAAACGGTGTAAGAACAGGGGTGAAAACATTTGTAATTAACGGTCTATCAAACTCCCCCACACTTAACCGTTTGCTTGCCCCCAAGCAAACCAAGTCAGACACAAGGTAAGCTCATATATTTCAATCAATCAACATTGGGGACAAGTCATAAAGGCACAGAACACGTGAATCGTACTGGTTTTCAAACATCAATACATGACCAACTTCAACAGCAACCAACCACCACAAAGGACATTCGAGTGCAGCAAAATCGAGTAAAGAAAGAGTCTCCCTTCTGTTCACCAACCAACCTAGACTTGACTCAACCACTTACTCAAAACAGTCAACTCATGCATCCAACTCAAGACATCAGAATAGAGACCGAGCAATCTAGGTCCTCACCGGGGTACAAGAGTATATAGAATATGAAAATGAATCACTCACTCTCGACCATTGGGGTCAGGACAATTTGATGCGAAAAATGCGCATGTTATTTCTCTCAATCCCTAACATCTCTTCACCATGATGGCAGCCTCTAAACGCTAGAGTTCACATATGGGGTGTCACCACTAACTAATCAGGAGGTCTTAGACACAGGTTCAAATGACTGGCTAGGGTCTTGGACATGGGGAAAAGGCCTTTTAGGTGGTGGAAGTATTCATAGCACAAGGTTCCACATTTCCAAACCCAAACAATCACAGTCAAACAAACCGGTATTTCCTTTCTGCTATTCTGCATTACTCAATATCTCAAGAGCACAAGAGCGAAGGAGGTATAAATGTCAGCATTTCCAAGCCAGACTGCTAAGAAACACTACTTACTGGGCATTATTCAGATTTTTGGTAGTGGCTCTCTTTTGCTTCCAATTTTTCTTTGTTTTTCTTTCATTTTCTTTTCATTTCTGAAGGGAGCCCACCACTTCTGCATATATTTCAAACACCTGCCCAGCTCAACTTTTAAGCACTACCTCCAACACTCACATCAAATTTAGCAGAAACAGCAGAGAATATGTAAAAAACCACTCTGTGGAACCTTCTAAAAGATGCAAAAGGGTAATTTTTTTCATTTCAGACCAAAAGAAAGGATAACACACGGCTCAAAAGGGCTGACTAGGGGATATGACACATCAGGACAGTCAAATTTGATCGTGGGCTAATCCTATGCCCCCATCATCTTAGCTAGTGACAACGTGAATGCTACACATCATGGAAGAGGGATCTATCGCACAAGAAAGAAACGAGCAGGCTCAAATCTCACATGGCTACCTATATGCTCTATCTCACATTCTGATACCCTGAACTAGATGCATAAGAGACTGTCAAGAACAAGTAATCAATCCAAGTCACAGTTGGTAAGCAAACAGTTGAAAAACTGAACCCCTACACAACTCTACTGCACGTCTTAGTCCTCATCATAGGTTGTCCTAGTCACAATCAAGCTGTCATGCATCAATCCGAAAACCATTCAATTCATCAATCAAAACACAGTGCCAATATGATCAAACAGCAGTACTTGGAGCCCTCAAATCTCGAGATTTGGACAGTGGACTAGGCTCCAAGCACACATATATACATTCCAACCGATACAAAGCACCCCCCCCCCCACACTTAAGCACGACATTGCCCTCAATGGAGCAGAGGGATAGAGAAGGGGAACGATGTTACCGGATTGAAACTGCTGGGGGACTGGAAGTGGACCAGTCAGCGAGAAACAAACGGGAAGATGGACAGTTCTGCACGAATCGAACACCAAGAACACACTAGCCAACGGTGTGTTAGGGATAAGTGTTAGCCCAGACGGCTACAGCAAAAACAATCCACAAAAGAAAAAAAAAACAAACGACACTAAGTGCAAGCTCCTCACACATGGAGCAAACACACACAAGTCTAAAACGAAAAACAAAACACACTGAGATGGGCAACGAATACAGCCTACTCGTCGCCGAGGTTGCTGAAGTGGATGCTGACACGGCCAGGTGAGGTGCACTTTTGCCCATGTCGGCCGACACGGGCTGGCCGAGGAATTTCACTCGGCCGTGCCGAGTGCACATTTTCCCGTGCCAAATTATGCGAGAGCAAACACGGCCAGGGAAAATTCCCACACGGCCGTGCCAACATCTCATCTGGCCGTGTGGAATTCTGCGAGAGCTCACACAGCCAAAATTATTTTCCACACGGCCGTATGACATTCAGGGCTGGCCGTGTGAGCTGCCAGAACTCCGAAAATGACCTGTTTCACTCCATAACGACATACAACTCGTGAACAACCCCTCAAGACTCAAAAACCACAAAAAATCAAAAAGAAAAAGGTAAGAAAATGCAAACCTAGGTGGGGTTGCCTCCCCACAAGCGCTTCTTTACCATCTTTTAGCTGGACGCCAGTCGGTGGATGCTCAGTGAGGTGAAGGAGCAGGTGCCTTCAAGAGCGGATCCACCTCGCTCTTGAGGTACAACTTCAAATGATGGCCATGCACACGCCGAATGTGGCCACCAGCATTTGCCAACTCAACTTGGCCATCCGGCAGGATGCAAGCGAGTGAATACTCGGATGGCCAAGGTGGGGGCGGGACCAGCTTATAGTGGTCTCTGGCCTTCTTTCGAGCAGGTTTAGCTGCCTGCTGTTTCGGCCGCCACTCCTCCCTGATTTGTTCCTTCGATGATGGAGTGGACGGGAGTGGCGACGAAGGTATGGGAGGCGGATCCTGCAAAATAGGCAACACAGGAGGATACACGACAGACTCGTGCTCCTGGTGAGATACAGCATGCAAAGGTGACGAAGCAGGGCGAGTATTAGAAATTGAAAACGCTATTCGCTCCTCACCATCCCTCAAAACTAAGGTCCCATCATGCACATCTATGAGGGCCTTGGCGGTGGCCAGGAAAGGCCTTCCCAGTATCAATGGCACATTCACATCCTCATTTATGTCCAAAATCACAAAATCAACCGGATAATTGAATTTGCAAACCTTAACCAGAAGGTCTTCCACTATGCCCCTAGGATGCACTACAGATCGGTCTGCTAATTGAAGGCTCATCCTAGTAGCACGGGGTTCACCTAGGCCTAGTTTCTTAAACAGTTTATATGGCATAACATTTATACTAACACCTAAATCCGCCAAGGACCTCTCTACATGCAAATTCTCTATAGAGCACGGGATAGTAAAACTACCTGGGTCCTTCTGTTTCTGCGGAAGCTTGTTCTGCAGAATGGCCGAGCACTCCTCGCTGAGCTCCACAGTGGCCAGCTCCCTCAGCTTCTGCTTCTTTGAGAGAAGATCCTTCAGGAACTTCGCATACTTAGGCATTTGAGATAGTGCCTCCAGGAAAGGCACTTGGACATTCAGCTTCCTAAGCATGGCCATGAAGTTCTCGAACTCTGTCTCCAGCCTGTCTTTGTGCAACCGAGTAGGGAAGGGGAGTTTAGGGATATACTCCTTCACTACTGGTTGCGGTTTAGGTGCAGGCACCTCAACCTCCTTCTCTACTTCTTCTTCAGCTGCTAGAGATGCCGAGGCAGGGGCCTCTCTCTCTTGTGCTCGAGCAGGTGGATCAACAGTCATCTTGCCACTTCTGGTTATGATGGCATTGCAGTGCTCATTCGGGTTCTGAGGGTGAGGGATGGTCTGACCGGGCAGAGTACCAGGAGCCCTTTGTGCCACTACTTGAGCCACACTCCCCAGCTGGGTCTAGATATCCTGCAAGACAGCATGTGTGTTCCTCTGGCCAGCTTCCAGAGCCAGGAATTTACCCGATGCCTTTTCCATGAACTGCTCTATAGTATTGAATTTCTGAGCACTAGAACTGGCGAGAGAACCCACAATTCCCGCAGTTCAGCCATCTGATCATTCTGCACTGGGGCGGCAGGGGCTGTACCTGGCTGCTGGAAAGATCGCGGTTGTGATGGAGCAGCATGCCCCTGCATGGGCTGGCAGAGAGACTGCTGTGGCTGCTGGAATTGCCCCTGTGTGGGGTGATATGGTGACCTCTGGAAGCCCGGTGGTCCCTGGGGGACTGGTGGTCTGGAATTTGCCCCACCCCAGGAGAAGTTGGGATGTTGGCGCCACCCCTCGTTGTAAGTGTTGCTGTAGGGGTCGTTGCGCCTAACATTGTTGATGAAGTTCACCTGCTCCTGGGGTGTTGTCGATTCCTTCATCGCCTGGCAGTCCTCTACGGTGTGATGGGAGCTCTCACACCACTGGCAGTGCATCACCTGCGGCTGCCCTGTACCTGCAATCAAACCAGAACGATCGATAGCTGAAACCAGCTTCGATACCACCTGCACCAAATCAGATGACTGGGTGCCTACAGCATGCACACCCCGTCCTGGTACTCGTCTCGATCTCCTGGCAGTGCCCCAATCATACCCATTCTCCGCCATCTCCTCAAAGAGTTGATTCAGCTGTGGCGGTGTTTTGGTCAGCATGTTCCCGCCACAAACCGAATCAATCAGCTGCTTGTCCTCCGGGAAGAGGGCGTGATAGAAGGTTCCCACCTTGAAAGCATCGTTGAAACCATGATTGGGACACCTCAGGAAGAGGCTGTTGTATCTCTCCCAGGCGTCCCGGATGGTCTCATCTTCAGGCTGTTGTATCTCTCCCAGGCATCCCGGATGGTCTCATCTTCATCCTGGGTGAAGTGGGTAATCTGCTTCTGCAAGTCCGCCGTCTTGGACGGAGGATGGTAGCGGGTAAGGAACTTGTCCGCCAGGTTGGCGAACGTGGTGATGGATCCCGGAGGTCGAGTGTCTAGCCACTCCTTGGCCTGCCCCTCCAAGGTGAATGGGAAGTACCTCAGCTGGATGGCATCTGCTGGGACCCCATTGATCTTGATTCCATCGATGAGCTCATGGAATCGCCTGAGATGTGATCGGGGGCACTCCCCCTCTTTGCCACGGAACATCACCGAACCGCGCAGCATGGTGATTACTGAGGTGCTCACCTCAAAATTATTGGCTGGGACATGAGGGTGTTGAATGGGTGACCTTATGTCTGCAGCCCTGGCGGTCCAGTAATGTCCCATGGTCTGCTCCTCGGGATCGACCACAGCATGGCCCTGTGGATCAGCCATCTCCTCTTCTTCAGTGATCTGTAGCTGTGCTAGCGCCTCCTCCGCAGCCAGTCGCGCCTTTAGAGCCCGCTTGAAGTTTCTGCAGGTTCGTTCAAGCTCGTGGTCCAGTGGTAGTAGATCTCCCGACTGGCTACGGGTCATGCACTACCTGCACACAATCAGCAGAAGCAACCCGTGAAGGCACACAGGTGGAAGAGATAAAATGCAGTAAATAAAAAGCTAGAGTAACAAATTCTCACGTTTCCCCAATAACCTAGAGGGTCCCCGGCAACGGCGCCAAAAACATGACACGCCAAAACACAACACCAATCTGCGACCAAGTGTAATCGCAGACCGGGAATGCAGTAACAGGCAAGTTATATTATCAACCCGGGGTCTAGATCTACTACTTACTCAGTGATTCTCTATTATCTAGCCAACTAAAGTAAGTGGTTGTTGTTTAAAAGCAAAAGCAGAAAGAAAGCAGGAATTGATACGGTTTTCTCAAGCAGGTAAGAGTCACTCGGGAATGAGTCCCCCTAGCTCCTTAGTTAGGTTTCAATTGTATTTCCCTGGGTTGATTTACTGTTGATTAGACTGCGGAAGATCCGACAGTAGCTTGGAATCTCTTAAGCTGACCAAGCCCTCTCGGTCTAACTATCCGGCAGACGACTAGTCTTCACCGGGATAGAAAGCTGAAGCAGTAAGAACAGAACTCCACTACTGGAACTGGATTCCAGTACAAAGCAGTAAACTGGCTAACTCTCGTATAGCCAATCTCCTACTATCGAATGATGAGACTCTAGCAACCTAATCAGATTCTATCAATCTCAGATTGCAGCAAGAATCAGGAAAAGTTGATCAGACTTCAATTGACTCAATAAACATGCATCATTCGATTAAAATCAAACAGTAATATCATCCCAAGTCATTACAATCAATCCCTAACACATAGAACTAGGGTTCTTCATCCCCAAGTGAGAGAGGGGTTCTACTCCATAGAGAGAGAGAGAGAGAGAGAGAGAGGAAAACAAGATACAAAGCAGTCATACTCATACTTATGGGAAGAATCTACTCTGGGATGATGATTTCCACTCCTATGACGATCTCCAAGCTTGATTTGATGAAACCCAGCTCCAAGATGGCTTCTAGGATGTGTTCTTCGTCCTTTCTCTCTCTAGGGCTCTGTTTTTGCTCAAAAAGTCCGATTCTCTCTCTTGCAGCCCGGAATTGGGTTAAAACCAGGAATTCCCGACTCACACGGGCAGGGCCACACGGCCGTGTGGCATACCCAGTTGCCCGTGTGAATCAAAACGGTGCGTTCCAATTAGTTCGATCTTCAGGCTTCTCACACGGCCAGGGTCGCACGGCCGTGTGAGATTTCCATCTGCCCGTGTTTGCTCTCGGCGAAACTCGCACGGCCAGGCCACTCCTTCACACGGCCATGTGAACATCAGGGCACGCCGTGTTTGCTCTCGTACAATCTCACACGGCCAAAGTGGTCACTTGAACGGCCGTGTGAGTTGTGGGTGTGCCCGTGTGGCCTCCTTTGTGACTTGCCTCGCGCCCGATCTTCGTCCAATCGACCCCAAACTCGCTCCCAAGCCTCCATTCATGTACTAGGACCTGAAATATCACAAACAAACACAACCTAGCGTGAAATCGGCCTAAAACACGAGAAACCACATCTCAAACGGTGTAAGAACAGGGGTGAAAACATGTGTAATTAACGGTCTATCAACCGGGTATCGCGACAGGCAGCTGTTTAAAGGAAAAGAAGGCCAAAGATCAAGGGGATTCGAGTTTTAGAGAGACAGAGCGATTCCTAGAGAGAGAAAGCGACGAACAAGAGTCTCCAAGTGCCCTAGCTTGATCTTCATCACCATTGGAGCTTGGCTTGAGCTTGGAGGAGTGCCAATCAACGTCCAGGAGCAGGAATCCATCCTTCACAGTATGAATTCCGTGTCTGATTCTGCTTTTGCTTCTTTCTCCATGGAGTAGTTCTCCCATTCATCTGGGTATGGAGAACCCTAGATTTGTATGTTAGGTTTGATTGTATGAACCCAAGTACTGAATCTATGATTTGATTATATTCAATTGAGGTTTGAATGATTGAATGGCATGAATCCTGATCAAATTCCTGTTGTTTCTGCTTTAACCTAGAATGAGAATATCTGCCTAGGTTGATAGAGCATCCTTGATTGAAGGTAGGGAGTTGGCGACTTTAGTCGAGGAGCCAACTCACTATTCTGTACCGAATTTACGTTGGTAGTGGAGGTTTTGTTCGTTAGGGCCTCAATCTATTTACTCCGGTGGATGTTAGTCGCCCGCTAGAGACTCAGATTGAGAGGGTCTGAAGACCTTTAGTCGAGACTTCGGGCTGTTTAAGAACCTTCCGCAGTATAACTATCATAGAAACTGAACTTGGTAATTACAATCCGGCTTAACTGCAGTCTAGGGGGAACCATATCCGGGTGACCTCTCTTAACCTAAATACAACCGTTTAGTTGCTTTGCTTGTTTGTTAGTTTAGACTTGCATTAAAGTTTCATTGCTAGATAACAAGAATTCACCGAGTAGTCATCAAATCTAGGACCCGGGTTGACATTTAAACCCAAACCCGCTATACTACACTTTAGGAAGTGGTTTCACTTGGCCAATTCCTAGAGTGACAGTAGAAGTGAGCTAGCAGACAAAGGCATTTCCTTCGCGGTCTAAGATCTCGACTGTGATCTTTACTTCTAGGTCACGATCTTATGTCTTCTGCCCCCTTGCTACACTTGTGACCTTGTTTTGTACCTAATTCGCATATACCTTCTAACACACCCTAGAATCACATCGAATTCAAATAGAAACGGAATAAGGATGCAATTGACGGTGTTTAAGCATTTATTCACACGAATTGGCACAAAACAAAGCTCAATATGAAGAGTAAATAACACCAATTTAGGGGTGCATTCCTCTCATTGATAAATTAGTAGATAGAGTAAAGAGCTAGCAGACAAAGGCATTATCTTATGCAGGGGTGCATCGAACTTGTGGAAATTGTACTATACAACTTAACTTAGTTTTAAATGTCAGTGTTTCTACTACCAAATTCAGTCATTAAAGAGGTGGAAAAGATATGTAGCCATTTTATTTGGCGAGTTGAAGCTGAGAGAAAATATGATATGGCAGAAGCTTACTTTTCCAAAAAAGAAAGGGACATGAGTAGCTGAAATGCAGTATGTATGGTGAGACATAACCCAATTCTCGTTTGCCCCATGGTGCAACAGAAAATTTGTTGCTTTTACGGGATTTTGGATTTCTTTTTCAAAATTTTGACGGAAGAATTCCTCATTTGAGTCGCTACTTATGATTAGGACATAGTCACGACAATCGCGGCTCCAGAATGTCGACGATGGAGTTGAGAGTGAGGGAGAGTAAGTTTTTTTCTCTTTCTTTAATCAAATTGGTGTTTGCTTGTTAAAGAGAAGTTCAAAAGGACAACAGGATAAAAGTGTAATTTTAGGGGTCGTTTGGAAGTTGCGATTGTTAAATAGATGTATTGTTGAGAATGCATGTATAATATTATACATGTATTGTTGAATTTGATGCATTGTAGAATACAACGTTTGGTATTTGTGATTGTGTGTGTCGCATCAGCTAAAAGCTGAGACAAAACAATCTCAATTCAACTATCTCAACAATCACAACTAAAAGTTGAGATATAACAATCACTCAAAATGAGTGATAGTTTCTGTCACATCATAGAAACACTCCATGTATTGTTTCTGCTAAAAAAACAAAAAAGTGATGCATTGTAAACAATACATGCATAATAACAATCACAACAAAACAATCGCAACTTCCAAACGACCCTTTAGTGTTTTTTAGGACGACCGACGTTAATTCTAAACAATTGTATCTGACTGGACTTCTGTTTCAAAGCCCAAAGCATGTTTTGAGTCTTAACCGAGCAGCAAGATCTGCTCGATTTATTTATTGGTTTAGGCCCACAAACGTATTGGAATCTGGAAACAGTTACAAAGCCTAGGCTTAAGCCCAAATATCTGTCACTGCTTCATCTTTCCACCTGTGGCGTCTCTTTGTCCCGACTGGGAAGTAGAGAAGTGCAGCAGGGAAGGAAGAGGTACTGATGGAGCCAACTGGGGAGAAGGAATCCATAGCAGAGGCTTCGAAGGAGGTTTCTCGGGAGTTCAGAACCCTAATTAATGGCGATGATTTGGATAACCTCAAGCAATTGCAGCATCTCATGTACGTTTCAAGCTCTCTGTCCCTCCCTCAATCCGATCATTCCCGCAAGTATGCCGATTGTTAAATCTGTCGTTCGGAGTCATTTCTAATTCCCGATTTCACCTAGGCCGGAAAACTATATGCCGTCTCCAGTGAATTGTAGAGACTGCAGCTTCTTGTTACCGTTTAAGTCGAATCATCACTTCAATTCTTTAAATTCTTCACCAAATTCAGTCCTTGAAATGGATTGTAATTGTTAAACTGATGGTCCTCTCCTCGGATGAAATTTTCAAACTGAGGGGCTTCATTTGGTCACATCTTAGACGAATACTCTCTCATTTGCCTACTATGGAGTTCTTACCGAGTCCTGCTACGGCTATTAGAGATGCTTATTTTACGCTTTGTAGTTGAATTTGCATACCCTGGAAGATATATGGGCAATGTTAAGAAGTCACATGGCTTGGTTGCATTCAAGTGTGGAGATTGAGTCTGTTTAAGGACTCATCGAACCTCAGACTGACGGCGCAAACATTACTGTAGTATGTAGGCAATTACTGGATATCCTATTTGCAAGTTTAGGTTATAGTTTCGCCAGATTTTCTTCAAGGAAATGCCTGTTAACTTCAGTTGCATCTGATTGTTTGCTTAATGGCTAATATCATTTGCTCATTTTGTTTTGTTGTTCGTTGCATTGTGGATGGCAGACTTGGGAGGCTGCAGGACAGCAATGCAGTGTTGACCCATTTTAACGACTATTCGGAAAATTGCTTCACTGAGGTTTCCGGGGATTTTTACAAGAACACTCGCCTGCTCAAGTCTATGAAGTCTGACCTTGATTACATATTTCTAAGGCTAAGGTAAAGATCGATTGCTGTCTATTCTTGATCCCAGTTTATTTGTCTAAACTGAGTACTTAATTTAAACATGTGGTGAGTAATACCAATACCAGCTGCAGAATGATGTCTTTGTTCAGCTGACTGAGTTGGCTTCGTCAAGCTTTATTGTGACATGAAATATCACTTGTAAATCTTTGTTGCAACTGAAGTCTCTCTTTTTTTCTGTTTTTTCCATTCTTCCCTTCTGCCTTGTTCCTTGGTTCTGCAGAACTATGAAATCGAAAATCTCGGCAGTCTATCCTGATGCATTTACTGACGAATCAGCGAAGCAAGTAGAGGACCGTAGACCGGATCTTGAAGCACCTATGGAACCATAGTGTGTTGGTGCATTTAATTTCCTGAAACATATGCCACCCAGCTTATTCCTTATGTTCTTTTCTTCTTTCCTGTTGATATATAATATAGTACCCTTACGACATTGTTACATTCTTGCATATCTGCACGTAATCTTGTAGTAGTAAAGGGATTCCATTTGCATAGAAACCAAAAGGTGGCAGTTTAATGAAGATATCACGCTGTGCTTCATGTTCTGTTATAGGCAGGCGGGAGTTAAGTAAAAAACGGGTTAGCAAAGGAAGCATCTTTCTCCAGTGGAATCTCCCAGGCAGATGGGTTTGTAACTTTGTTCTTCTCTACTTTCTATTTCTGTTGTGTGTCAGTTGTAGACATGGGAGATGTCTCTCGCCTTTCATCCGATCTTTTGTGGACTTGTGATAAATCAAAGCGTTTCCGTTCGTTTATGTACTTCCTTTCCAAACTATTCCCTCTGTTTCTCTGGTAAAAGAGGGCAAAGATTGACCCTCGTCGGTCGCGTACTTGCCTGCACTCTTTTTCACTCACGTAGTTGCCTAGGAGTGAGCACGTGGGTGGTTAATCCGCGGATTGATATTGATCCACCCGCAAATAATCCGACCTACACGCAGTGGGTGATTGATGTGGGTGGATTGCAGATTGTTAAATCTCCCACCTGTACTTATGTGGGTGGATGGTGGGTGGATTGCGAGTCACCCGTATGACACGCGTCCTATTTTTACATGTAAAAATATTGTTTCTTATAGTATCGAATATTCATTATATTTTCGAACAGCACTATAGTCTGACCATATACTTCAAAAGGTGGAGAATAAAGAATAGTTTTGACTACTATTATTGGTTATTGTGTTGTGCAATATCCACAATGGAGATTGGTATGCAAATTATTGTTAATATCCATTAAATATTGGGATACAAACTATAAATTATTAATTGTATCAAAATCATAAATTATTGATACAATCTTACTAATTTGCTATGAACTTATTATAAATGTTAGTCAATTTTTTTAATGGTTAGTTGTAGAATTTCTTTTGCGGGTTAACCCGCGACTCAACCGCACCCATCCGCCACCCACCCAACCCGCATAAGTATGTGGGTGTACTGCGGGTCACATATATTCCAACCCGCTAGTAAGCGGGTGGGTCAATTTTAGACCAAAATCCACCCAACCCGCCCATTGCCCACCCCTAGTTCATCCCCAATGTCTGGACATTCTACTGTGTTCTCTTTCGGGTTTATGCCACATTTGGTCACTAAGATTACTAAATCGAGCCATGTTTAGTCACTAGAAAAATTTAATATCATTTTTGGTCACTTCAATTACTGAAATAGGTCACATTTAGTCACTCTCCTGTTAGTTTCTGTCCAACTCCATTAATGCAGTTGGATGGAAACTAACGAGAGAGTGACTAACTGTGACATGTTTCAGTAATTCGAGTGACTAAATGTGACATGTTTCAGTAATTCGAGTGACCGGAGTTGGACGGAGTTGTAGTGTTTCAAATTTAAATCACATAGACTACTACTTAAATATTATTTGTACCAATACGCAAACTACTACGGGAGGTCGGATAATCTTTTTTTCCTAAATTTAAGGGTGTCCCATTACCACTTTTTTTTTTTTTTTTTTGCTTATATGTAAACTACTATCGGAAGTTGAATAATGATATTTCCAAATTTTAGGGATGTCTAAACATGCATGTATTCGCCACTGCCGCCGACCTTCTGTGTTTTATTGCTTATATAGGTAGATGATTAGTTTTGTATTAATTATGTTATTAGGTTAAATTTGAAATAAGTAAAATACACCATTTACCTCATTACCTTAACTAATTAATAACTCTTAGCTCGTGCGTTTATGGTCATGCACATTATCCTGGTTTAGTGAATGTTCTAGCAACTTTGTGCCTCCAAAGTTTTATAGGGAGCGGTCCCACTCCCACATTCACATAGGTGAGTCTATCAGAAGTACCCCCAAAGTAAATTACTTCACTCCACATGGAGTATAGACCTCATTAAGGGTTTCTATTAACTCGACATCTAGTCTTTGGGATTCATGTTTCACTATGCATGAACTTTTCTTAATATTACTCATGACTTGTTATTACCCATTGAACCCGTTTCTTGAGATCTCCAGTCTATCGGGTCGGGTTACCGTCACTTGTAAATCATGACTCAGTAGGCATAAGTCCCATACCCTTGGCGGTATTATGGATTTTCTCTCTAGGTAATCCTTTCGTCAAAGGATCATCTAGATTATGTTCGGATCTTATATGATTCACCCTCACTAATCCTATCGTTAGGAGTTCTCTTACAGGTATTGTGCTACGACGAATCTGTCGTCTCTTTCTGTTATAGAACCGGTTCTCAACTTTAGCAATAGCTGCGGTGCTATCACAATGGATCAATACTGTAGGGACCGGCCTTTCCCATAGGGGAATCTCTGACAATAATACTCTCAACCAACTCGCTTCTTCACTAGCCGTTGCTAGTGCTATCATCTCTGATTCCATAGTTGATTGAGCTAGGACTTTTTGTTTCTTAGACTTCCAAGATACTGCTCCACCAGCGATGTTAAAGACATACCCGCTTGTTGCCTTGGAGTCATCTGATAGGGTATTCTAATCCGCACCACTATACCCTTCTAGTACAGCAGGAAACCTTAGATAGTGTATACCAAGGTTTGCTGTTCTCTTGAGGTATCTCATGACCCTCTCTATAGCATTCCAATGCTCTCTACTAAGACAACTATTAAACCTCCCAAGCAATCCCACGACATATGCAATGTCTGGTCGAGTGTAATCAGCCACATAACGGAGACTGGCAATGATGCTAGCATATTCTGATTGTCTTATACTGTCTCCAGTGTTCTTGGATAGCTTTACACTAGCATCATACGGAGTACACTCAGGTTTACAGTCGAAATAGTTATATTTCTTCAAGATCTTCTCTATGTAACTAGATTGATCTAGAGAATAACCATTTGTTGTTCTAGTTATCTGGATTCCAAGTATAAACTTTGCTTCACCCAGATCTTTGACCTCAAAACTCTCTTTCAACATGGCTTTTGCTTCATTGACCACGTGAATATTTGTACCATATATCAACATGTCATCTACATACAAGCATATGATAGTGCAAGTGTTATTCTCCGATTTGTAGTAAATACACTTGTCACTTTCATTCACCTTAAAGCCACGTGAGAGAACGAGAGTGTCAAACTTCTCATGCCACTGTTTTGGAGCATGTTCCAAACCATACAATGATTTGTCTAACTTGTAGACTTTTGAGGCATGTTCAGGGATAACAAACCCTTCTGGTTGTTCCATATAGATTTCTTCGTCCAGATCACAATTCAAAAAAGGAGTTTCAACATCCATTTGGTGTACCACAACATTGTTCAAGGCATCAAGAGCAATCATGATACGAATGAATGTTATTCTCAATACTGTCAAATAGGTATAAAAAATCTATATTCTCTCTCTGCCTATAACCTTTAACTACTAAGCGATCTCGGAACCTTTCGATTGCACCGTCAGGTTTTCCTTTCGTTTTTAGAACCCATTTATTATCCCAAGACTTTGCAGCCATGAGGTAAGTCTGTTAGATGCCAAGTCTTATTAGCTTCCAACGATTCCATTTCATCTATAACGGCCTCATTCCAAAAATCTGCATCTATGAAAGTTAATGCTTCCTACAAACTTTTGGATCTTCGAGGGTGTATACTGTAGACTTTGGAGATTCTATCTCTTTTACTTGCTCTTAGTTCATCCTCAGATCCAACACCCCCACTAGTTCCGTTATCTCTAATAGCAGATAGTACATTACCTCCACTATTTCTCGTTTTAAATGGAAATCGTCTCAAAGAAATCATCATCAATGGATTTTATTATAGTACGAGCATTCAAATCATAGAATTTATATGTCTTCCTATTGGTAGCATAGCCAACAAAAACACATTCATATGCTCAACTAGCCACCTTAATTCTCTTAGGATCCAGAATTCTTACGTAGGCCAAACAACCCCACGTTCTTAAATAGGACAAATTAGGTGACTTATTCTTCAAGATCTCATAGGGTGACTCTTTTTTATCTGTTTTTGGAAGACGATTTAGCACATAGGAAACCATCAACAAAATATAACACCACCAAGAAGAAGCAGCTCCAGAATTGAGCATAATAGCCACAACTAATTCTGTAAACATCCTATTTTTCCGCTCAGCTTTACCATTCATTTCTGGTTAATATGGTGTCGTGGTTTCATGAATGATACCATGTTAGCTATAGAATTCCTTGAAGGGATTAGAGTCATACTCTAATCATCTATCACTCCTAAGTTGTTTTATCTTTCGATTGCACTGTTTCAAATTCACAAATACCTTGAACATATTAAGGGTCTCACTTTTGTTTTTCATCAAATAAACAAAGCAATAATCAGAGCAATCATCTATGAAAGTGATAAAGTATCTATTCCCAGACCTAGTTGACGTCCCATCTAGTTCACATATATCATAATGAATCAGATCTAGGGGTTTTGATTCTCTACTCACAGATTTATGGGGCATTTTCGTTATCTCAGCTTGGCTATAGAAATCACATTTATCAAATTCATTCATTGAGTTTAGGGATATGTCCTAGCTTGCTTAAATTCTTCACAATTCGTATGTTCACATGACAAAGACGAGCATGCCAAACATTCAAATCACACAACATGTAAACTGAAGAATTCATCTTATTAATTTCGACATTCAACTTGAACATCCCATTACATGCATATTCCTTTCCCACAAAACTCTCATTCTTAGTAAGGGTATACAAGTCAGCCCCAATAGCTTGATTAAATCCAGCCTTATTAAGAAGATATCCCGAAACAAGATTCTTCCTTATCTCTAGCGTGTGTAACACGTCTTTGAACACCATCTTCTTTCCAGAGGTGAAGTTCAGCTCCACTTCACCAGAACCAGCAGTCATAGTGGTGTGGCGGTCCCCAGCAGCACTTTTTTGTCAGCAGGTGCTTCTGTGTGTCTTAAACATAGCACAATTGTTGCATACATGCTTCGATGCACCTGTATCCAGCCATCATCCTTCTGAGTCACCGGTGAGGTTGACTTCAGCGATCATATCCGTGATCATGGCTACCAAGTCCTCTTCTGTCAAGTTAACCCTTGCTGCAGCAGCAGGGTTAGTCTTGTTCCTTCACTTTCGTGCCATATGACCTGGTTTCTCGCAGTTAAAGCAACGAAACGGAGTGTCATTCTGAGAGGACTGGACCATAACCCTTTGGTTTCCCCGAGGGACACCATTCTGGTTGGGGCGGAGCTTCTGGTTCTGACCCTTGAAACCTTTTTGGGTAGGTTTCAGAGCTCTAGGGGTGGGTCATTGACGACCATCACCTCTTCTTTCATATCCTGCTTGTGGGATCTTCCTCAATCCTTAGGTGAGTAATCAAGCTTTCCAGTGAAAATTCTTTAGTTTTATGTCTAAACATATTCTTAAAATCTTTCCACAGAGGGGGAAACTTATCAATAATGCAAGCAACTTGAAACTGATCGTCCAAAGACATACTTTCAGAAAACGATCTCATAAGCAATTTTCTGAAGTTCATGTGATTGAACCTCGATAGATTTGTCCTCCATCATTTGATAGCGCAAGTAGAGGCTAACAACATACTTCTTAGCTCCAGCCTCCTCCGTGTCGTACTTCTTTTGGAGCGCATCCCAGACCATCATCATTGCGGTTTTGCTCTTGTTCGCATAGTAGTCATAGAGATCGTGTGCCAGGCCGTTGAGGATTTAGTTCTTGCACAGAAAGTCATGCTCCCTTACTTAGCAGAAGCAGCCATCTCTCATCGCTCGCTTCTTCAGGCATCTCGACGGGCGTGCTGGTGAGGCAGTGTGCCAACTTCTTGGTCGTGAGGTAGAACTCCATCTTTTGTCTCCAGCGAGGGAAGTTGACCCCCATGAAGCGGAAGGGTCGATTGATATCGACAGCACCAGATCCAGGCATGTTTTTATGTTTAGTTGATATAGCAGCAGTCGAACGTCTTAAAATTGTTAAGCACTGAACGACAACAAGGAACGGGGTTACCGAATCTGGAGCTGAGTCACGAACTAGGTCGCTCTCTTTAAGACTTTCGCGGCACTGCCTTCGTTGCGCACGACAGAATATCAACCAGTCGTCTCCAGGATAAAACAACTCCTCTTGTGCTCGGCGATTTTGTGCAAAAACCGGGGCTCTCTAAACAGTCTCTCTATTGTGTTTCTGCTCGTTTGTGGTTCGTATCTGTTAAGGATACACGATAATTATTAAATAATTAATTTTAGAATTTCTCTAAAATATATTAGTCTCAATGAAGACCACCCACCCATCCAGCCGACCGGTCGGTCGGACGGCGCACGCGTGTGGTGGTCCGTTAGGTCCTCCTTCTCTCACAAAAGTGGGTCACCCCAAAAGGCATGCCTCGACACCTATCTTTATACACACTTAACTAGTGTAAAACAACAAATGTGGTAGTTTTTCTCATTGAGACTTATAACTTTCAAAAGCTATTCATTTCCTTTCATTTCCAACAGGATCCTTCCGCCCGCCCGACATCGCGTCAGGACTAGGAGAAGTACAAGCTATACGAGCAATGCATAAACGCGCCGATGCCAGTTCGGTACCTGAAGCCCAAGGACATGAAGCGAGAGGCCGAGTGGAAGAAGTTAGGGTTGGAGAGCAAAGATCGGAAGCTAGAGAAGGACATACTGAAGAAAGGAAGGAGGCAAGCCACAGGTGTTTCCGATGAGCCGCTGATGATGGGAACTCCGGGATTCGACCTGATCTCGCTTGAACTGGTGGATGCCGATAAGATTCCCAAGTACCACCTGACCGTGGAGGATGGGAGGCGGCTGGCGAAGGAATACAGTAGGGTTTTGATGAGGAAGCACAAGACGAGGCAGGCGGCTGAGACGAATCTGCTGACGATGAAGAATGAGGCGATCCAAGCGTTGTCCGAGGAGTTGAAGCAGGCTGCTCTAGAGCCAGACCTGACGCCGTTTCCCAAAGAGATATTCATGGCGACATTGACATCTCCTATTGAGGGTTATATTAACAAGGTGAAGGAGGCTGCAATGAGGAGTTCTGGTGCTCAGAAGATTAGATAGAGGTTGCTTTCTCCCCAAGGTATGGCATAGTATCTTTTCCCCATTCCTTTTCCTCTTTTGTTGCCTGTGCTTTTTTCTAGTCATGAGATTCGACCTTGTAGTTTACACTGACTAGTCAGATTGTGGCATTAATGAGGCCTCTTTCTTTAGTACTTAGAGAGCTACAGAGAACATCACTTGTAATAACATTCCATGTTCAGCTTGGCTTAGGATCGATGCTCTCTAATTTTGCAGTGTGGTTAACTGCGGGATGAATGATAAAGAACAGGGTTATTAGATTGCAATTTTGTGAACCGAATCGAGCACTGGTTTTGCGTTCTTTGGTTCATAGTCTTTGATATCCCATAAAACTGCAGTTGGTGTAGTGCAATTATTCAGAAACGCACTCGGGAAAGATTAAGGTTTATTAGACTTTTCATTTTTTGCAAGTTTAGATGATTAACTTCATCAGCAATGCTCGTGTTAGTTCTTACCGTCTGTTATCTAAGGATCAACTCCTTCGACTGGCCTACAGCAGTACAACAAGAGGTGAACATTATGACGACTCTATATCGGTGCAATGATGAGTGATAGCTCAAGCCTGGATCATCTTGGTTCATTCCATGATGGGAGCGTTTTAGTGAGAAGAACAATGCAATTATGGGTGTTCAAGTCTCGGAAAACCAAAAATGGAGCACTGGATTTTGGGTGGGGCTTTGTATTGCTTGTATACACCCACCAAGTCGGAAGATGAAATGCACATCTGGGGTTGGTTATTGGTGTTTCTAGTGTCAGTCTGTTGGCTGGAATATCTAAGTTTATTTTTTCAAAATTGCCCTTTTTGTTTGAGGGATCTTAACAAAAAAAAATGTATGTATCAACAATATCATTATATAGTCAATCTTAAAAAATAGAGTTAAAATATATTTAATTATTAAACAAAATAGTTATTATAAAATTAAATATATTCTATAAAGTATGAATATAAAACTTAATATTTTTATCATAAATTATACCATGAGCAATGAATCAAAATCAAAATATATTTATACGTACATTGCAGTATATCGACTGAATATCGTTAACCATATACGTTAAATTAAAAAAATAACTTTTTCAAAATACACCTAGTCTCTGAGCCCTAATATAATATTATTCATATACTACTAGTTTCTATTATTTGCATATGTACCTTCAAGGCTTCAACCACCTTGTGCTTTATCATTGGAGCAAGTTCATTACTTTTGAATGAGCTCCCTTTTGATACATAAAACTACATTACCAATTCGAGCACTTCTACTATGTTATATAGTATTGGTGCTTTAATGTACAACTTAAAATTGTACCATAACATTAAATGTATAAGTTTAGGTTGTACCATAAATCAATTTGTATCATTATGTTATGGTACAACTTTACAACTTGAAGTTGTACTATCACATAAATGTACAAGTTCAAGTTGTACCATAAAAGAATTTTTACAAAAAGTATAGGTACAATCTGAAGTTGTACCATAACGTAAATGTACAATTTTAAGTAGTACCATAAAAGCAAAACCCTATAGCACCAATAATATATAGCATTGTAAAAATTCTCTACCAATTCATAAATAAATATTTTCTTTAGACCCATTATATCAAACATCTAATTTCCTACTACCCTTGTTGAAGATATAAGACAAATACACTTATGGGTCGTTTGGATGCAGTATTTTGATGAGGTATTTCGATCGAAATACCTCGTTTGGCTTCAAAAATAAATTGAGTGGTAATTTAAGATGTGGCATTTGAAATGATGCACAAGTGAGTTAATTCAAATACTTGGGGGAGGAGTAGGCAATTGAAATACCGGATCCAATGACTACTTTTGTGCCTTTTCTGTCCCTGCTTATTTTTGTAAACCCGAAACTGACCCATCTCTATTTTGTCCTTTTTCGTGCTCTCTTTATATCACCCCATATCTATTCTTTTCTTATTTCTTCTACAGCGACCAAACCAAAAGAGGCGCGAAGGAACAGAAAGGTTTTCGGAGGCCGCGTGGGAATCAGTGGGAAGGTCGTCGGTGATCAGTGGGAGGCTCGACGACGGTCATTGGGTTCTGGGCAGTTGTGTTTGATGTCTTCAGAGATAGACTTCAATCAAAACGTACCAGGTTTGTCATCTTTCTCTTTTTAAGGGTTGTTCTAGGTCACACTGTTATGTTTGGCGAAGGGTTTGTCATACCTTTCCCCTTCTTGTTTTACTCTGCATATGCTGTGTGTGCTGGTAATAGATTTAGTTTTAGGATTTATTTATTATGTTGTTCAGATTAGGGTTTGGATTTGGCTAAATTCATTGATGTGTTGGAAGACCTGACTTGTTTGCTAAAGCTAGATGTAAATATTTATTTCTCAACAAAGGATTCATCAATCGATTTGTGGAATATATGAGTTGTAACTTAAAGGTGAGACAAAATTAATTAGGTAAACAGAAGCTACTAGCTAGGGTGGTTTGGACAGTTCAGACGCTGTTCTCCCCTCTGTTTCGCTGAAGGAGCTTCTCACTAATAGCTTTCCTTTGTCACTGATCTTGTACTATCTCCTGACTTTCATTGATTTTGTGCTTGGATTGATTTTGTTCTTTATCACTGATTTTGTACTATATCCTGACTTTCAAGGGATGTCGCGATTGTCAATGTTGAATTCAACGCGTAGGCGCCAAGTGATTGCTGCCATTAGCTGCTTTATGAACCTTGTTTCGATTTATGTGATTTTAGGCATGAGACTATCCAAAATTTTAGAAAACCGTTACATGAACCCGAGACTTGGTAGGCAGCCAATGGACACTTACACTGTGAGGCACTATGATAGACAAAGACACTTGAACATCGCAACTAGAATTAGTGGTATTTATGCCTTTGACCAAATTAGGATGAACCGTACACTTTTCAAAAGGTTGTGTGAGGTTCTTGCTCATGATGGAGGGTTGAAAAAAACTAGGAATGTTGATATTGACGAGATGGTGTATACCTTTCTTCGTACTATTTCACATAACGAGAAAAATAGGACGTTGCAACTTAATTTGCGACGATCCGGTGAAACCATATCTCGGTCATTTCACCGTGTTTTGAAGGCTGTCATAAGATTAAATGATCAGTACATGATGAAGCCTGCTCCTATTCCAGAGGACTGTACCAACAGTAGGTGGAAACATTTTAAGGTCAATCTTTAAACCTTGTTTTCAGTTCTTTCCTCCTTCATTCAATGCATTGTTTTGTTTACCTGAAAGTCTGCTATTTCTTTTTCCTAGAAATGCTTAGGGGCCCTAGATGGAACTCATATTGAGGTTCGACCTTTAAAGGAAGATCAACCTAGATTTCGAGATAGGAAGCATAAGCTGTCCATGAATGTATTGGGGGTTTGCACTCCAAACCTAGAATTTGTCTATGTTCTTGCTGGTTGGGAAGGTAGTGCCCATGATAGCAGAGTGCTCAAAGATGCCCTCACTAGACCAAATGGTCTGACTCTGCCGGAAGGTAACCAGTGCACTAGTTAATAAATAATAATGAAGTAATAGAAATAGACCCTCATTTCAAGAACCTAATAAACCTACTGTTTCAATGAAGGGTGTTTTTATCTTTGTGATGCTGGGTATGCAAATTCTGCTGGTTTTTTAACCCCATATCGCGGTCAGAGATATCATCTCAAAGAGTGGGGTGCAAATCCGCCTCTCACAGCAGAGGAATACTACAACATGAAGCATGCTTCAGCTAGGAATGTAATTGAGCGTATTTTTGGGGTTCTAAAGATGAGATGGTCTATTATAAGGAACCCAACTTGGTTCACCCCAAAGGAGGTTGCACGAATAGTTGTTGCTTGCTGCATCCTGCACAACTTCATCAATAAGGAACAAGGAGCTGACTCTTGTGAGCGAACTTACCGGGACCGTGAACCTGACCTTCATGAATCGGATGAGGTGGAAACAATTGTGGGTTCTAGCATGGAACCGTGTGCTGCGTGGACTCAGTTTAGAAATGAAAAGGCTATTGCGATGTGGGAAAATAGGACAAATGTGTAGTTGTGTTCTTAAATGCAAGTATGGAACCTTTCGTAGCTGGTGGTCAGATGTATTAAAAGTTGTGTCTTGTAACTTAAATTATGTGTGGAACCTTTCGAAGCTTTAAATTTATAGTACTCTGCATTTGTACCATTGGATTGTTGCCATTATTAATGAAGAAAGTTAGTTGTTATGGAATTCATTGTCCACTCATATTTGATGCCCATGTTTGCAGCATGCGAAAGAAGAAAGCAGTTGTTGCCGCTGCAGGTTCCCGATCGTACACTTACTGGGATAATCGACATGATGCTGCATTCCTAGAGTGCCTGTTGGAGTTGACGGAGAAGGGGCAGATTGAAGCTGGAACTTGTAAGAATGGTGTATTCTATGAGCTAGAGCATATGATGGAAATGAAGGTGCCCGGATGTGGTGTGAAGGCGAAGCCTACAATAATGAACAGAATCAAGAGACTGAAGAATTGGTACCATGCAACTGTATTGATGCGCAATCAGAGTGGCTTTGGATGGGATGTGGAGAACTCATGCATAGATGCACACAAAGATGTTTGGGAACCATTTATTCAGGTTAGTAAATGGGATTAGAAATAGTATGATTAATGTGCCTTAGTTGATGGTTGAATTCGATATCGATAAGTTGTTGTCCACAAATTTTTGGTTGCAGAAAAACCCAACCTGCAAGTCATTCAATCGAGTTCCTTTCCCCCAATTCTTTGACCTTGCGCCAGTATTTGCAAATGGTCGTGCTACTGGGGATATGGGCTTTTCAGGTAAAGTAACATGGTTGTAATAAGTAACCGTAAGTTGCTATTTTTTCTAGGAAAATATGGTTGTAATAAGTAATACTAAGTTGTTGTTTTTACAGGTAATGATCCTCAAATCCTGTCCGAAAGTGGCTCGGATGATGATGAGGAGACCCCAATCATGTTGGATGAAATGAACAGCCCCGCAACAGATGAAGTAATGGCCAACATCATTAATGATGGGGTGGAAGCCAGAGCAAAAGAGTCTAGAAAGCGACCTGCAGCACCTTCAGCAGCTGGTCCGTCTGATAAAAGGAAGAAAGGCCAATATCAGGTTGATGGAATGGCTACTGGTTCGTCTGATAAGAAGAAGAAAGGACAAGCAGTTCAAGCTGATGATGGACTTGCCGCTGTTACGACTGAGATGAAAGACTTGACGCCACTGATTAAGCAATCAGTAGACACCATAGCTAGTGCCTTGGGGCAGAGTGAGGAGCATCATGTTATGCGGAGGGACTTGATGAAGCATTTGGATGAGTTGGAAGGCCTTAGCACGGTTCAAAAAGTGCTCGTGTTTAGGAGGCTGAACAATAATCCATCTGATTTGAAGAGTTTCTACGACCTAGATAAAGAGAACAAGTTGACTCTAGTGCTCGATATCCTATCACCTTGAATGCGAAGGAGTAGACCAAACTTATAGTATGTGTAGGTACCCGTCTAGTTTGCAAAGGTAGTGTATTTTGTCTGTCATTGGGATGCACTCACAATGACAGCCTTTGCAAACATATGACAGCCTATTAAGGGATTCAGACGCCGATGAATGATATTTATCAGTGTTTGATTTTTGTTGAGCCTGTATATGATGGTTCATAACTAGTTGTAAAGAATGATTATGTTTATGATGAATGTACATGATGTCTCCTGTAAATGATGCTCAATTTAAATGATGAAGTTTAAGGATGTTGAATGTATATTATGAATGTAATGGTTGTTTAATGTAAAGGCTGATGATCGTGATGGAAGTTCATTGAAATATGCAGTTGCTATTTGTTTTGTTTCTAGGTGTATTGTTTAGTTCATGGCATGTAGTTTTTTTCTGTTGGGTTTTTACCAGGTATGTTGATTGGTCAATGTCAAAACAGAGGAAGAATGTCAGACCTTAATTTGGTGTAGGACACGTCGAGTTTTGAAAGTGGAGGAAGTAGACAACAAACTTTTCTGGAAAAATCATACTGGAGGAAGGAGGGATGGAATCATGGAAGCAATCTTACACAGGCTTGAGAGAGTCGGAAGATGAAAAGAGTAGGTAGGAGAGGGAAATCAATAAAGTAAGGGCAAAATAGAACTTTAACCATTTTAGCTATAAAATACCTCAAGTTGGGTATACTCCATCCAAACATGATAATTAGACCACAATTACCACATTGAAGCTTCAAATACCACAAACTAAAATAATGCATCATTTTGATTCAAAATACCTCAAACTCAAAATACCTCATCCAAACGACCCGTTAGCATTCCGTTAGTGAATTTGAAAATATAGGGTTAATACCTTATTTTGGCCTGAACTATGACCATATAATCAACTTAGGCTCGTGGTTTCAGAAATTAACATCCTGGCCTCAACTATGTAACATATAGACTCAATTGGCCTGATACCTAGTTTGACCGTCAATTTGGATGGTCAACACCATTGACCGTTAGTCAACACGCCATGTCATTGCCTCGTCAACCTAAAAATTATAAAAAAATGAAATTCAAACTATTTTTTTAATTTTTATTATTTATAATCAAATTAACAAAAAATAATTTATAAAAAACATAAAATAAATTTATTTTTTTATTTTTTGTGTAATTTGAAAATGATAAATTTTATATATTAACCAAAAATTATCAAACTATGTTATATATTTAACTTTATAGAAAAATAAAATAGATAATTTATATAATAGTTTTTAAATTTATAAAATTTAATTTGATAATTTTTGGTTAATTTATAAAATTTATCATTTTCAAATATCCCAAAAAATAAATATAAATTTTATTTATATTTTAAATTCTATTTGTTGGTTAATTTTAAAATGATAAATAATAGAAATTAAGAAAATAATTTGATTTTGATTTTTTAAATAATATTTAGGCTGACGAGGCAATGACATGGCGTGTTGACTACGGTCAACGAGGTTGACCATCCAAATTGACGGTCAAATCATGTGTCGGGCCAATTGAGTTTATATGCTGCATAGTTGAGGCCAGAATGTTAATTTCTGAAACCACGGGCCAAAGTTGATTATATGGTCATAGTTCGAGTCAATATAAGGTATTAACCCGAAAATATATCACATAACTCATCTATGAATTTAAACAAATTTAAACAAAACAAGCTAACCCAGAGTATGATATATGTAATAATCCTAAGAGTCTACACACGAAATAATGAGAAATCATATTAATAACGTGGAGAACAAAAGTGAAATTAGTATCAACTAACGATTGCTATTTTGAAGAAATAAATACAAACAAGTGCAATATTGTTGTGTGTATACTTGGTCTAGCATTATTGGATAAAGAAATAGGCTATTTTTTCATAAATTGAAACAATAAAAAGAGCGGAGTCTCCTCTGACATTGTTATTATTATTGCTATCATCAATATCATTATTCTATTGCTTTTAGTTATAATTTAAAATATATTAATAGCAAAACATGAACCATAATTGATTAAGTGAAGGGGAATTGGGAAAGTATTTGGGGTCTGTTATGAATGGGCTGGAGCGCTCTTAACAAACTCAAGGTCAATTAAGATGTATGTTGAGACATAACTTAAATCCATTTACAGTTAGGCGGAGGGAGAACATAATTTTTTATGGACTAAAATTCCCCTATCGAGAATTAAGGGGAGAGGAGGAATTTTTTAATTGGAGAAAATCCACTAAAATACCACTATTTATTATTCTTTTGATTTAATTTTGGATGGGCACGAAGAGTCACCAACATACTTCATATCACTATTCCTAGTTGCGTTACTATCACCAACATACGATATGTCGTGGATGTTATGTGGGGATTTTAACCAGGTGCTAGGATATGAGAAAAAGAACGAGGAAAATCCTCCAATTTGCAGAATATGGAGGAGATCCACACAACTCTAGACGAGTGCCATATGGAGGACCTCGGTTACTATTAAAATCCTTTTACATGGGATAACGACATGGTTAATGAAGGATTTCTAGAAGAGCGGGTGGACAAAGCAGTAGCAAACTCGGAATGGAGAAGAATGTATCCAGAAGCGTGTGTGCTCCATTTAGATAGATGGGTTTTAGACCATCTCCCCATCAAGATTGTGCTGACTAATCAAAAAGAAAAAATAAGATGAGGGTGGCATTTCAGGTTCGAACCATTATGACAACAACATGATGAATGCAAAAACATTGATACAATAGGAATGGAACAGAGACCCGACAAGAGGAGTAGAGAAAATGATCAAGGAGTTTGAGAAAAACTGTTACAATGGAGTAGGGAAACATTTGGAAATCTGAAAAAGAGTGAAGTGGAAAGCTGAAAGAGCACTAGCAATAATAGCCAAACGAAAAAAGAACCAAGCAGTAATCATATGGAGACGAATTCTTGAAAAAAGAACTGAACAAAGTTCTAAAGCTGGAAGAAATTATATGGAAACAAAGAGCAAGAGTGTACTAGTTGAAGGAGGGAGATCGTAACACCAATTTTTTTCATCGGAAAGCCTCTGAAAGAATAAAGCGCAAAACCATCAGAGAATTAAAAAATGAGGAAGGGGTGGTGTTCAAGGGACAAGCAGAAGTGTCATATTGTATTGCAGAGTATCTTAAAGGTATTTACAAGGCGGGAATGACTTTGAACATTGAGGAGGTGTTGGCCACAGTGGAAAGGAAAGTGACAGACCAAATGAATGAAAACTTGCTGAGAGAGCTGACTAGTGATGAAGTGTGGCAGGCCTTTTGAAGAGTATAGCTCCAAATACAGCGTCTAGGGTGGATGGAATGCCAACACTTCTCTACCAGAATAATTGGAATATAGTAGGAAAGTAGTCACAAAGAAACTCAAGCAAATATTTGAGACAACCATTATGCCACCTAGTCTTATCAAAATTATACGGGTTCTAATAACAAAGACAAAGAAACTTAAATCCTTGAAAGAATTTTGAACGATAAGCCTTTCCAAGGTACATTATAAAATACTATCAAAAGTGCCGGCGAATCGGTTAAAACAAGTCTTGGACGAGGTCATTACAGAAACTCAAAAGTGCTTTTGTACCCGGAAGGAATATTCTAATAACATGATGGTTGCATTAGAATGTTTCCATGCAATGAAGAACATAAAGGAAGAAAAAATAGTACGTAGCAGCCAAACTGGATTTTGCTAAGGTGTACGACAGAGTTGAATGGTCATTCCTACAAGAAATTATGTTGAAATGGGGTTTCAAAGAAGAATGGGTGAATCTAATAATGTAGGGTGTAACTACAGTCTCCTACTCAGCCCTAGTAATGAGAAAGAAGTTTTCAAACCATCTAGAGGGCTTAGGGTTACGATAGGGGCCCCCAATATCACCCTATTTGTTCCTACTGTGTGTAGAGGGCTTATCAGCATTAATGAAGAGGGTTGTCATAGAAGAAAAGCTCCACGGGCTAAAGATCAGTTAAAGTAGACCAATGATTATACATCTATTTTCCGCTGATGATATCATTTTTTCTTTGAAGCTAAGAAGTCGAAGGAGAAGCCCTTAAATAGATATTGGAGAGATATGAATCAACCTCGGGGCAACAAGTTAGTTTGCTGAAATTGGAATTATCTTTCAGTGGTTGAACAGAGATGGCTCATTTATAGGGAATGAAAGCAGTTAACAATCATGACAAATACCTAGGGTTTTCTACGATTATTGGTAGATCGAAGAAGGTCATTTTCTCGCAGCTAATTGATAAGTCATGAAGAATATAAAGATGTAGAAAAGCAAATTAACGTCTAATGAAACAAAGGCGGTACTGATCAAGGCCATTGCACAAGCACATAATTTTTATAAAATGTCGGTTTTCTTAATATCTCAAGGAGTGATCCAAGAAATTCAAAGCTTGATTGCGAGATTCTGGTGGGGAAGAAAGAGGGAAGAAATAGAATTCACTAGAGCTGGGAGAGGCTCTGTAAACCAAAGGAGGAAGGAGGTATGGGATTTCACGACCTACATAGTTTCAATATAGCACTACTAGCCAGACAAGTTTGGAATCTTCTTAAAAAGCCAAACAACTTAGAAGCAAAGGTATAGAAAACAAAATACCATCCCCACTGTGACATCTTTCAAGCGGAAGTGGGAACTAATGCTAGTTATATCTACGAAGTCTAATGTCAGCACAAGGTTTGATTCGTGATGGAACGAGATGGAGAATTGGAAACGAGAATCAGGCTCATATTTGGTGGGACAGATGGGTACCTAAGCTCTGGATTTAAAGGTTACATCAACACTGGCTAGATTGAATTTTGATGCAAAGGTCTTGGAATTTATAGATGGAGAAACAAGGGCGTGGAAAGTAACATACTGCAAACATACTTTAACCTAAGGGACAGAGAAAAAGAAAGGGCCTTACAAGCCACCAAATGGACTACCCTATTGTTATCCCTACCCACAAAACAAACTTTGTAACTAGAATAGGCATCATTGAGCTGCACAATCTCTTCGAAAATAGCACCTCCAAAACATGTGATCCACTTTTTGCCGCCCCATCCACATTGCAAGACATCAAGCTCCCTAGCATCGGCGATGGTAGCCTCGACATATCCAACTCTGCTTCCATACCCCCTGATTTGGGCCTAGCCCCAACCATTTCTTCGCTTGGATAGTGTACAATCGTAGAAATAAGTGCCACGATATTGGATTCCATCATGAATAACCCAGTTTCTTGATTTCCATATTCTCCAAAGGAGAGCAACGAGCCTCATAAGTCATAACACTAGCCAACGAAGCATCTCATTGAATCAGCTGGCAAAAAAACATACCAAAGATTCTTATCTCCGCACCAACCAACGTCGGCCGAAGACTAGTAGCCTCCCATAACTCAAGCGCCATCAGCAAGCGGCAAAATATGACGCAATAATTGCTAGACAAAGAATTTTAATTTCGGCGGTATGGGGAAGGCCCAAAACTTATGCCAGAACCTGAAATCCTCATCCTCCACCCCCACTTTACACTGACCTGTCGACCGAGCCAAATGAGTTGCTAGGTAGTAACCTGACTTAACATAATATACCCCAAAGGCCTCGACATTCCATATTCTATTATCCTCCACCTCCTCACACGACAACAAAATAGCCAAAATTGCCCTTGTAACATTATTCGGGAAGCACTCCCCAACACATTGCTGACACTACACACCAGAGCCCGACTCAATTAGCGATGAAACCCGTTCCCCACCTTAAATAGCATATGCCTCACCATCAAAGAGCTATCATGCAACTGCGACACCCATTTGTCACCCGAGATATCAATTTTTTCTCCATTTTCCAACTTGCCATCTCAACCCTTGTTGCAATAACTCTCTCCCATGGAGAATCCCCTTCAAACCACACGAGGTCTAGAACCCAACCGAGCAGAAAGGAGCTCCCCCGTCGAAATTACTTCCCCTTATAAATCCAAGCTAACAGGTATCCGGTTGGTCAAGGATACACCAACCAATTTTCACTAGCAGCGCTTGATTAACCTGTTCAAATTTCTGGAATTCCAACCCATCATCCTGCTTCTTCTACAAAGTGAACTCCATGAACAACAATGTTCACTAGCCCAATTCCCACAGGACCCCCACCAAAATAGAGCCATGTATCTATCAATTCTCCTGCATAGCATAACCGGCAGTAAAAAACAAGACATCATATATACTAGAAGAGTAGAAGCCACAGATTTCAACAATGTTTCCTTCGTCGTCCAAGACAAGTGTCTTTGCTTCAATCCTTATAGTTTACTGAACAACCTCTCCTCAAGGTATCTAAAACTAGCGCCTTTCACCCTCACAATCAAGGATGGCAAGCCAAGGTATTTACTACGATCTCTTTCTCCAATGTCCACACCGTGGTTTTGGAGAGCAATTCCGGATTGAGATTCTACAATGGTCTCTTCCAAGAAGATCAGGCACTTATTAATTCTTTATGACAAGGGAATATGCTAAAACAACTCCACCCCAGATAACTGCATTGTTTGAAGAAATGGCCGATAAGGGCTATGATTGGGGTATGACAAGGCGTGGAAGGAAGATTTGAGAAAGAGGAGTGTACTCCATCGAAGCAACTCCTCCACTTGCGGAAAAGATTGATGAGTTGATCAAGGTGATCTTGCATGATAGGAAGCAAGGGAAGAGCTCGGTTATGGCTTGTGATTGGTGTCCAAATCCCAACCATGCAATGACAGAATGTCAAATCAAGAGGGAGGCAAACACCCCGAAAGAACAAGTTTATGTCATTGCGAATGCAGAAAGCTCCACAAATAGCAACAAACCTTGTGGCAAGTTGCTCAATCCGGGGGTGAATTGACCATCTGGTCCATGCATGGGTAGCACCAACCGATCAAGAGCCTCATATTCAGGTCATGACTTCTTTTTCTTATCAACCGCAATCTGACATGACTTTTTTTTCATACCACATCAAAGTATAGGAAATATACTACAAAGGAAAGGTATTGGATGACTGGATTGGTGATTGGAAGACTTCGAAACAAGGCCTCAAAGATTCATTGAAGACACGACTTTTCTTGCTTTCCAAGTTTTGTTCCCTTTTCCTTTTCTATACGGATTCATTGTAATTGTTGGGTTTCGATTCCTTTTTCGAGTTTTAGAGTGTTTAGAACATGTTTACCTTGTTTGTAACTTAGCTAGGCTATTTAAACTATTGATGGATTGTTGTAACGGAGATCATTATTCGTAGAATTAAAAACCGAGAGTTTTGAGTTTGTGAGCTTTGTCTTGTGAATTGAGGGATCAATCTAGCAAGCCTAGGTATGATTTTGAGCTTGTATCGTCCAGGTAATCTCCCTGTTTGTGGCCAAGCAACGACTACGCCAATTGAGACTCTTTCTAATCATGAAAGTTGCACGAAAGGTCACCATCCACACACACAAATACCAACTCTGTTTTGGTGTTCTTTGTATTCGAGGTCAATCTTTGCAATTGATCTTTGGTTGTGCTTCTCTAAAACCAAATCAACCCTTTAGGGGATTATCAGACAGTTGGGGGTACCCATTGAAATGAGCTATGTTCTTAAAGCCCAAGATACTATAGCTTAGATTGAGGTGACTGACATGGCTTTAGGGGAGGCGTACTCGGAGGCGTGTGGATAACCACGAAATCCCATGGAAAAGAGCTCACGCACCACAATCGCTAAACCCAACTTATTTAGACATTTCATAGTTGACCTATACTAGGGTGAGGGATAGTTCCATGAAGTACTTACTTTTATCCTTATGTATTCTCTCTACGAGTCATTTCGCTTGAATCCTCCATCACAACCCCTTAAACCGATCGGCTAGATAACAACAACATGGGAAGTAGGCTAGGGTACCAGGACTTGAGTGAATACGATCTTGATTGCCACTACATGACAATGCCATTTTAGGTTAAACTTGGTCTAGGATGGGGTAGTTATTGAAACGTGCTAACTATTGACAATGACTTGCACGGAATGAATCGATCAAGCTTTTTAGCGCCGTTGCCGGGGAACCTCGGTAACTAGTAGAAAACCAACAACTTGTTAGTTTAGCCTTTATTTCCTTTGTTTTGTCTTTGTCTTTGTTTGTGTTTTTGTTATTTTCGTAGTTTTAATCATTTTGTGTTTTGTTATCCAACTTTGTGTGTCACGGGTTGTTGAGTTTGTGTCTTGTAGCACTTTTGTATGCAAAAAGGGAATTTGGAATCTACCTCTTGATATATGAATTGAGATACTACCTCTTGATACATAAATCGAGAGAACCCTTGGAATCTAAGAAGAGTTGTAAGGCATCAATCTCAACCAATGATGGATCAACAACGACAACCTCAAGTTCCACCAAGGCCTAGAATAATGGGATCCTACTCAAGACCAAGTATGGATAACGCTCAATCACCTATTCTTCACCCAGCGGTGCCGAACAACAACTATAAGATAAAGTCAAGCACAATTTCGATGTTTCAAAGTGCGATTCAATTCAATGGGATGATGAGTGAAGATGCACAATCACATATCAAGTCATTCTACGAGTGACAGATGGAATTAAGATAAACGGAGTTTCTCAAGAGGCAATTTGTTTGAGGTTATTTCCGTTTACTTTAAATGGAGCGACAAAGCAATGATTGAATAACCATCCTCATCAGTCCATCCTCTCGTGGGATCATATACGCAACAAGTTCTTCACAAGGTACATTCCATCTTCTAAGACGGCCCTAATGAGGTGCGAGATTACTATATTCCGTCAAAAGGAGGATGAACCATTGTTTGAAGCATGGGAAATGTTTACATCTCTCCTACTCAAATGTCCACACCATGGCATCACCGATTGGTTACAAGTGGAAAGCTTTATAATGGTTTAACAAGGGATTCATGCCACCTCATCAATGCGGCTAGTGGAGATGCCATTAGGAACAATGAAGTTGGTGAACTTCAAAGATTGATTGAGAAAATGGCCCTAAATAGCTACGATTGGGGGGATGGAAGGAGAAGCAAGAATGTGAAGAAGGTAAGTTTGATGAAAGTCGAAGAACCATCATCGTTAGCATCTCATATACAAGAACTTCCCAATAAAATTTATCAAGTTGTGTCATCAATGAAAGGCAATGGGAAGCAACTCATGAAATGTGATTGGTGTGGCGACTCGAGTCACACTATGGATGAGTGTAAGTCTATGATTGAGGCCTCAATATAATTTGAGCAAGCCAACTTTGTTGGAGGGTAATCCCGATGAAACAACCCTTGTAGCTCTACATATAAATTGGGTTGGAGGAACCATCACAACTTTCTAAGGTACTAGGGGTTCTAAACCCCACACCCTAGTTTTAGGGATATTATGTAATGTATTGATATGTTAGGATTTTGAATGAATGTATTTATCTAGTTGATTTCATTACTTCTATAGCTTTAATTGTGTTTGGGTAAGTCGCCCTAATCTCCTCTACTAGCCTACTTGAGCTTCTACACTAGGTATGTAGTTTTAGGGTTAGACGGGTATGCGCCATCAAGCAAGTTAGAGTTAGATGAATGATTAGGGTCTTATGGTGGACGAGGCGACCGTACCCCTACCATAGGAATTCCTTCCTAGATAGAACCTAGGATGAAATCTCGGTGTGGGCGGTGAGTAGTACGCATTGAAATTAGCTATGTTATTAAAGCCCCAGATATGATAGCTTAGATCAAGGTGAGTGACATGGGTTTAGGGGAAGCGTACTCGGAGGCGTGTAAATAACCACGAAAGCCCGTGGAAAAGAGCTCACTCACCACATTCGCTAAACCCAACTTATTTAGGCATTGCATAGTAGACCTAGACTAGGGTGAGGGATAGTTCCCCGAAGTACCTACTTTTATCCTCATTTATTCTCTACGAGTTATTTTGCTTGAATCCTCCATCACTACCCCTTAAAACAATCAGTTAGATAACAACGTGGGAAGTAGGCTAGGGTACGGGGACCCCAGTGAATACAACCTTGATTGACACTATATGACAACGCCATTTTAGATTAAACTTGGCCTAACATGGGGTAGTTATTGAAATGTGCTAACTATTGACAATGACTTGCACGACATGAATTGATCAGTAGTGTAGCACTCCCAACTTTGGCCGAGATCCAACCCAAGCTATATAAAGAAACGCACCAAAATTTGAAGGAGGTTTCTTGTGGACCAAGCAACCTAGCCCAATTGGAATAAAGGTGTCAGTCCCAACCATCGTAGGGCTTCCACTCAAACCCTTATCCTCCAAGGAAGCTTTCTGAAGAAGCAACTTCGTCCACAAGTTTAAGGAAATTGAGTTCAAGTCGGATAAGGAAGGATTTGGCCGACTTTAGTAGGAAAAATACTAGAAATCCCCTTCTGTAACTAGTATAAATAGGAGGCTAGGCTAGAACTTAAACATACACCTTTTACCAACACTCTGCCCCACTAACACGAGTAGCAATCCATAGAGAGGAAGAGAATTGATGCTGAGATTGGAGGAGAAGCATTCACCATCTATGCATGTATCTATGGTGATGTTGTTCCACTCTTCTGTGTGTTGCTAGTAGATCTGTTTAGGGATGTGAATTCTATGATGATTATGTATTGCTTTCTATGAGGTAATAAGATGCATATTTCGTTTTAAGTTGTGATCATCGATGCCTTTTCATTTAGAAGCATTTTTGTATTTTAGATGCTTTAATCACCTTTTGTGTATGATCATCGATGTTTTATTTCATATGATGTTTTATCATTCTATGCAAGTGAATCTATTAAGATGCTACTATAGTATTGTGCTTAATATCATTTAGGTGGTCAATAAATTATCATCTAGTGATATCCCATTGCCTTATGTATTCTTGTTTAGTTGGACGCATATATGCATGTCTACATAAAATAATGCTTGATTCTTAGATCGTCGATGTTATATACTATGGTTATGGTTCGTAGATATGTTATGCTATCTTCCTTGTTCCTTATTGCTTAGGTGATGGCATGAAACAAAAGCATGCATTAGCTAGTCAAATCTCTATCGCAAGACGAGCATGCACGGGTAGAGAGTGGCCTTAGAGGAAAGGATATGGCAGCATAGTAGATGATGCATAGATGCATCGTATTGAGGAGATTGTATGCATGACTATCTAGAAGGAACTATCTAAACATTACTTTCATTGCTTGCATCTTTGTTTCTTTTTTCTTTGCATAGTAGTTTAGAATTTCGAAATGGGCACCTCAACCCACTAGTTTTACTTTCTTGCATTGCATCCATTCGAATTCAATTGGTTAGGTTTGATTAGTTACTATTAAAAGACCCTGTAGAATACGACCCAAGGATCTCCTAGGATATTATCGCTTGATACTATATCAAGTTTTTTATGGGAATTTTTTTATAATTGACAGAGAGTAACTTGTTGTGTTTGATTTTCATTTCATAAAAGAAAACACTACACTTTAGTTGGTTTTTTCATGTAGGAATCGAACTCAAATAAGCCAACAGGCCATCCAAGGACATGATACCAAAAAGAAGGAATAAAGATGTGCTGAGGAGGATTGAAGATCAAAGTCAGCAACACCAATCCTCTTCCAATAGGCAATATGTCAATCTCAACAAAAGATCCATATAATTTGGAATGATGATGAAGCAGATCTAGAAGAACTAAAGCTAGTGAGGGAAACATATGGATACTACGTAACTGTAGAGGAATGAGAACAAGCTTTTGCTTTCCTCCAATCCAGACGCCAGATCAATTCAATACCTCCTATTAGCATTGATGCTAACATTCAAGAAGAAGAGCCCAAACAACAGTTAGAAGGTGTTCAAATCATTGAGGTGCCTCACGAAGCCGATATAGGAAGTTCCAATGAAGTGCGTGAAGGTTTTAAGAGATCAAGGTATAAAAATGACTTACGGAGCTTAAAAAATTCCTGGATCATGAAGAGAAGGAGGATCATCTCAATACCAACACCTTTAACGAGGAAAAAGATGGAGAGATCATGGACCATGGAAAGGAAGATCATCATGAGGCCAACGAGTTTAAAGAAGAAGCAGAGTTTATAACTCATTATTTGGAAGAAGAAGGAAACAAGCCCCCTCAAGAAGATGCAAATGATGGAGAGGCGATATCTGATGCGCAGTAAACAACAAGTGATAAAATCTTCAGAATATCTAGGATCGTATTCCATAGGGCCTTTCGAGGGTAGTTACTCAAAACTAGACGAATATGATAAAACAAAATAAAATTTAATCCAACGGGTTGAGGTGTCCTTAAAACTGTACGAACAAGGCTACTAATAAAGTAAAAGTGATGCAAAGATTTCAACGAAGTAAACAAGTAATAAAAGTTATTGCTCACGAAGTTTCATATAGATGAGCACGCGCGCTTGCTTTCTCATTAACAAAATGCATTCAAGCAACAACCTACAATGACATTACCTTTCGTGAATGCATTCCAAACTAAGCTATCGCCACATGCGAGAGGAACAATAACTGGTTGTGTACGTGCACTTCATGCCACCATCCAACTAGTAAAGAGTAGGAAGTAAGGATATTACATCTTTAAGTGTGGGTCTCTTGAGTCATAAAGATTTTCAATGATATTGGTGATCTTCATATATCAAACATCAACATCATGTCGTGAAGGGGTTTACCGGCCCTTCATACACACTTAAAGTTGTTGCATACTACACAAGAGTAGTTTCTTAACACATTTGATAGTATTAAAATCAATGACCATAATAATGCATAATAAAATAATTATAGTCATAAAAAGACTAGATCATCGAGGTTAGAAAACTAATCCAATGATGATCTATAAAATTTCATTAAATCACTGAAACAATACTTGGTACATCGTAGAATCCACTTCCCAGACATTACACGCTTAGTCAACCATTTGAAGTAGAGAAGAGATCACCACAAACGAGGGTAAGAACATCATCTATGAATTCTGGCCAACTTCGGTTGTTTGTCTGTGTAAAAGTGTGTCTAACAACTAAGGCCTAATTACCTATTTATACTAGTTATGATAGGGGGTTCTCTAGTCTTTTCTATTCTAAAGTCGTCTAAAACCTCTCTTATATGACTTGGACTCAGATTCTCTAACTTGGAGGTGAAGTAGAAATCTTCCAGAATCTTCTAGAACTTGCACCACTAGTACCCACCATCATTGATTTCCTTGTTGGGTTAGTTGCTTAGCGCACAAGCAACCCCTTCATGCAATTTGGACAGCGACGGTTGGTGTTTACTAGACTTGTTTGACCTAGATAAATGATAAGCCCGATACACTCCTGAATGTACTTCTCTGGGTCATAAAATGAGCATCTAATATCCAAATCCATCTCCGTTTGGACTCACGTGCTTGTAATCTCGTCCTCCTCCTGATCCACTAATGATCCATATTCATCTTGAGTGAATTATACCATTGGAAGCACAAAACAACACCAAAAGGCATAAAATAGTACCAAAACATACTCAAGGTCTATCTTAAGCACATAATTCAAATATTTACGATATTCATATGAAAAAAATACTAAAATCTACTAAAGATTCATTGAGAAGTGGAAAATATATCAAATATGAGAATGATGAACACTATAAAACGGAGTGTTATCAATACCAGAAGGGGAAGAAGTTTTCACAAATGGGAGGATGATGCCATGACTACAAACGATGATTGTGAAGGGATTTGAAGAAAGCAACAAGTGCCCAGGTTTCTGTGGTAGATTGGAATTTGGGGATTATAGGTTGAATGATTTGGGAGTCGGATTGGGAGGAAAATTTGAGATTGAGTTTAGCCTGAAGAAGAAGGATAGAACGAGCAACAAGGAAAGAGATGCAGCAGGCAAATGGTGAGTGCTATTTGAAAATAGTTGCATCTATATTGATACTCTTCCTTAAATGATGGTAATGATAATTATGCTTTCAACATCTGCTTGCAAGGCAAAAGAATTGGCATATTGAAATCCTATGGTCAATTATCCACAAATTATGTTTTTATGAAAAGTGAAAATGGAATTGTAGGGCAAAATAAATGAAGAAGATGAGAAGAGAAATGTAGCAGACGAAGCAAGAAGATGATACCATATTGTTTTAGATAGAATGAGGAATAGTATTGTCGTAAAAAAATTAGTGTTTTCAAGAAAGTATGAGAATGGTTATGAGAAAGTACATGATATCTTACAAAAAAAAAAAAGTAAATGAGATAAGGATGAGCGATTATTGGTGTGGATGAACGTTAAAAGGACACAACATGTTCTTTTCTTCATTTAGTCGACGATATGCGCCTTTAGTCCTATAAGTGTCTCTTTTAATGATGAAATTTATGATCCAACAGCACAAAACCTAAAATCCAACGACAACGAAGCGCGACTTACATAACTAGTTTGGTTAAATTGAAGACTTTTTTTTCTAATGAATAAATGAATGACTATCATATGAAATGCAAAATAAAATACAAATGAATTTGTTGTCTAGTGACTTGCTACTAGACGATTCAGTTACTCTGTATTCTAGTCTTAACAACTTTGTTATACAAGTCTTATTGTGCTTCTCTTCTTTAAATATAGTAATTTGTCAAGTTCAAATCATCCCATTTATAAATCGAAGAGTTAAACTAACTCATCTGGGATGGAAATGGAAGTTTAGAGGGCTACCTGAGGAAATGCATAAAAGTTTGGAGATCCAATCGAGATTGCTAAGATTAAGAAACAAAGTCATATGTTAATTAAATTTAATAATTAATCTCCAACAATGTTCCCCTTGCTTGCCTGCCTGCCCTGCCTCACTAATGCAATTTTTTTGCCTTTTCACTAATTTCCCTCCCGCAATTACAGGAGTGCTTATATCGGCTCTCCATCTCCTCTCGCCCTCCTCCCTCTTCTTATCTTTCTCAAATACACTTTTCTTCCTTGTCTGATTCGATCCAATTGGCCGCAGCTTCCCGCGAATTCGTGAAACCTAGGGTTTCACTGCGGAACCACACGTTCATTCCCTCGCGCGCTGATATTAATATATTTTTTTTCCAATTCCGTGATCTCGTTGAGGGGACGAACGGGGGATTGTTTGGTTTGGAGAGGACGTGGGGGAAGAATACTCTTTTCTCGAGGCGTTAGGGTTTGTGCCTGCTCTACAGATCTGAAGTCGGAGTTACTGGGACGGACAGGCGATTGATTCCCTTTGGTGAATTGTAGAAAGATGTTTTGGCGTATGGCTGGCCTCTCCACTGCTTCGCCGGTGACATTTCTCGACCTTGTTTCAACCCCCACGCATTGCGTGTTTCCTTTTCTTTTGATTCCTGTACTTGAGGCGAAGAAAACGTGGGTTACGTGAGAGCTCGTGTAGGATTGGCAACCGGCGTTAGGGGGTTGTTTCCGGCTTACGTGGCAATGCTCTCTGCATTATTCTGTTTGGTTGAATGGAAAGTGTAGTGACGGAGAAATAAGTGGAATCTTGGATTGGAGTCATCGTTAGTGTTCGGAAACTTCAACTTCTTTGCCTAATTTGAGACTGAATTATGTGTTACATTGGGCATTTAGCTTTTCACTTCTGATAGTAACTGGGTGTGAGCTCAGATTTTATGGGTTATCAGTTTTCCACCCTTTTCCAGCTGGGAGATTATTTCTTCAGTATGGTTCAAGGAGTGTGATTTTTCGCTGAACCAGAACACATGAGCTGTGTTTTTATCTTCTTCCATACTATTGAAATAATTTCATTCAGTTTCGGCTTCTCAAGCTATTTTGTGTGAAACTGCAGGTGGAGACAATATTGGACAAAGATAATTTTACTCTAGAGGAACTGCTGGATGAAGATGAAATAATTCAAGAATGCAAGGCACTCAATGGGCGCCTGATCAACTTGTATTGGTCTTTCCACTGTGCAGCTTAGACATTGTTATTATGTTTTCCCTTATATGCATGTACAGCAAAGACCTGACAAGTTCGGGTGCTATGTCAAAAAAAGACTGATTGCATACGAAATGCTTTAGATAACGGTAAAAGAGTTGCATCATTTTATATATGTAAGGTCTTTACAATTATTTATTTTGGATCAAGACACAAATTAGTAGGTAAATTTGTCTGTTCTGATAACTTTGTTGATCACATAGTCATGAGATAGAACTTTAGAGGCCATGTTCTGATAGTACACCTGATCTCGGCTCCCTTATAAGGCGGTTGCTAGAGAACAAATCTCTTTTCTAGCCTTGTCCATGGAAACAACCTTAGTTCTTCACAGATTATCTATTTCATCTTCAGTATCTTACTGGTTGCCGATTTGTTATTGTTGCTTTTGAAACTATTTATTTACTGAATTATTTCGTTGACTTCACCTTTTCCATTTTCTGGCTTCCCCCCCTTTTTTCCTATCTGAAATCGCAGTTTGCGAGAGAAGGCTCAGGTGGAGCAGTTGATTCGATATATTGTGGAAGAGCCGACAGAGGATGCTGAGAAAAGGCGGGCGTTCAAGTAAGTTTCTTTGGCATTTGTTATCCTGCTTCTTCCGTATGTTTCTTCTTTTCCTTTTTCCTTAGAAGAGCATGGATTTTCTGATTTCTCTGTATGCTTAACTGATGCTGAGTTTCATGTTCAGGCTCCCGTTTATTGCTTGTGAGATTTTTACTTGTGAAGTTGATATCATACTGAAAACATTGGTAGAAGATGAAGAGGTAATTAGAAAAGCCATTCCTATCTTACCTGATTTTCTGTACCGATATCTTCTATTCTCCAAGGTACAACTGTGGTTGCTGAGCTTTCTAGTTCCCTTTTCAGTTGATGAACTTGTTGTTTTCGTTCTTGGAGCCAACCCATTCCCATGGGACACTGTTAGCAGGCTACTTCAGCAAGGTATCTTCTGGTGAAAGTTTGATATGCTACTATCATAATGTCTTTCACTCTAATATATCTCTGTTTGGGTGAATTCATCATTTAATGAAACAAAACCTTTTGTTGCTAGGTTTGTATATGCCTTTTGCTGCGAAAGACGGTTCCTTTCTTAAACCATGTCAAGGTAAGTTTTATCCTCACATGAAGGGAAATCCCTGATTGAATGCTGTCATTAGGTATCAATTATTAATGGATGTAGTCCCTCATTCAGATCTTTGTCTGGTACAATTTTCCTGGGAAGGAAGTTTGAAACTTGTTCCACTGAAGTATTTATGAACTATATGGGAACTCTTTGTGCTGTGCATAAGGTTGGTCTAAGTATCTTTTTTAACGTGGTTCTTTCTGGCTTCAACTTGGAAGTGACGTTGTTTACATGCTGTTTTTCCTTAATGCTTGGCCTGTATTTCAACCCTGGAAGGGGGGACGCGGGAGGGGTACTTTGCAGAGGCGAGAAAATGGTGGTGCTCTTCTAATTGACAGTTGCATGCTTAAAGTTCTCTTCTTTCCAGTTAAATTGAATGTTTATGATATTAAAGCTGTGCATAGGATGTTATTACAGGTTTTAAGATTATTAAACATCACTGATAGGGATGGCAAATTACCCACCCATGGGTAATTATACCCAAACCCAAGTAGACCATTGATAATGGGTTGGGTATGGGTGAAGTGCATATGGATTTGGGGGTTTATAGATGGGTTTGGGTTTGGGGCTTCCATAATCTAAATGGGTATGGGTTGGATATGGATATCCATTTACTTGAGGGTGTTTTAACTACACATGCAAAAATTGGACCTATTTGCAAAACTTGAAAAGTTTAGGTATCAAAATGTAAGACAAAAAAAAATTTAGGTACCAAAATGTAATTTTCCATCGATATTTTGAGGACTTATATGCAAAAAAAATTAAATTTAGGTACTAAACATGCATATCTATTAAGTTTGGGTACCAAACTGTAATTTGTATTTGGGCATGGGTACAAACCCATCAAACTCTACCTATATCCATCTATTTGGATTTCATACCCAACCCAATTGGGTTGGATAGTAAGAAACCCATGGGTATGGGCAAAGTTGCCATCCCTAATCACTGAGATGTGGAGAATTGAAACGGTTACCCACAAACGGAAACTGAGAAGTGCTTCATTTTTTGTTGTTGGACATGTTTGGTAGTGAAGTAGGCAATCTTGTGTTGCAGTGATTTGACCGGGATGAGTTTTAACTTCGAAATTTGCTCATACTGAGTTCTGTCTTCTGTTAACAAGTGCACACCATTTTCCGAGTGGGAATGAGGTCACCTGTTGTCTGTGTCGGAAAATAGTCATTGTAAATTTGACATCTAAGGGGTCGTTTGGAAGTTATGATTCTAGATGAATGATTCTTTGAATTCATGTATTCTGGAGAATCCATAGTTTTTTTTGTTCCAAAACTTTATTCAATACATGCATTTGAGGTGGGCCCTCAAATCTCATATCACCCACAATCACTCATTTTAAATCTCAACAAAAAGGTGAGATTCTTCCTTTGAGATTGTTGGCTTTAATTTGTTTCACTTTTAGCTCATAAAGTGATTTTTTCTTTTCTTTAAAATTTTTGAATGGCTACAACCAAACAAGACATTCTTTCAATCATCTAATTTTTACAATCTTTGTATTGACAATAGATGTATTCATCAAATACACATATTTGAAGAATCTCAACTTCCAAACGACCCCTAAGTACTTCTTTTCCAGTTATTGCGCGTTCCAAACCTTATACTAGTTCTATCGATTGGTAAGAGGGCAAAACATTTGTTAAATTATAAGTTAGGTCACCAGAATGCGAGTGTTAGTTGATTTTATATTTGTATTAGTAAGGGCATATTCTGTTGGTTGGAATGTACAGTGTATTCATTAGTCACTAATAACGATAGAACTTCTGTATTCTTGGTGTAAATATGGCTATTAATTTGCTTTCCTTATGTTACGTTTCAGGGTCATCAGGAAATTCTTGCAAAGCTGGTTGACCTTATTGGTATTACCTCTATTATGGAGGTGGGTTGTTTGTCACATGCGTACTTTTGGAAGTATGTTTACTCCGCTACTTGCATGGTAGAATTAGCAGACAGTTATGTTATTTCTTATGATGCCACATTTGTCTTGAATTAAACCTTTCCTTATAAAAACATGTCTGATTCTGTCTTCCTTAATCTTGGGTGTGTTTATCAGGAGTTAAGTTGGAAAATAGTTCAACCAAACACACTACTTTAATCTACATGTTTAGAACAACTATTCCTGGCGGACTCCACAAATTATTATAAGCGTAATGATACATTACTGTAAAGTCGTATTTCCAACTTTACCCCTTCTAAATGAGAATATAGGTTTTAGTTCCTTATAAAAAAAAAGAACGGACAAGTGTGCCGGGTATGTCTTGATGCATTGCTTTTCTAGCTAGGGAGAAATTGAAATGCTGCTTGTCTGACATTCTCTACTTATGTTAATATACAATCTTAAAAGGCATTATCCTCTTTGTAAGTTCTTCATAAAGAAATCCGTCTAACCTTTTCCTTCTT